TTAAACATTAACAAATTAATTTTTTTAATTTTTATTTTATACAGTGTTAAAGCTCAGGAAAAGAGCTTTAAAAAGATACCTTTTTGAGCTTTTTATCTTTAATAATAAACAAAATACAAAACTTTTTGTAAAGCCTTCAATCGCTGTAGGGTAGGCAAAAGTTATTAAGCGGCACTGTATGTTGTCAGACTATTGTTGGACGCTAAAAAGAGATATACCAGAGACTAAAACTTCAAAGAAGAGAAAAAGAGAAAATCTGTTCTTTTTTGTCCGCTATATTGGAACCGCCATGTTGAATTTTTAAAAACTGACATCATATTCGTAATCAGCGATCCCGAAAACCCCCGTGTAACGAGTTTTAAGTAAATACGAGGAATTTTTGAAAATTTCGTCCGCCATTTTGGATTTGACATTTTGAAAATCTTATGTCAGATTTGTAATCAGCGACCTCAAAAACCCCCGAGTAAAAAGTTTAAAGGAAATCTGAACAATTTTTTTTAATCCACCATTTTAGATCCGCCATTTTGAACCCGACATTTTTTTATATATTCAATTCTTATGTTATTAAAGTCACTGAATTCAAAAAAACATTCAGAAGAAGCAAAAATTCAGCTTTATTTATAGAAATTAAGTAAATTCCCATAAAAATCAGTTTCTCAAACTTCACCCCCCCACCAAGCCAGTAAAAAGAGAACACGAACTATCTTTTAGGTCAGACAATGTTTTTCTCTTTAGATACACCTTAAGGAAAAAAACCTACCACATGGCAGTCCAGGTAATCCAAATTTTTTTTGTATGCTGGTGTAAGTTATTTATTTGATTAAAATAATTTTTATTTATGTCAAATATCCAATTAACTGAGTGACATAAATAATGTTTTTAAATAACTCATTATTTGTGTTAAATAAATTGATTGATTAGAATCAATTAATTATTAAATTAATTCAATTAAGATTTATTTGATTCAATTAATTAAAATTATTTAAAGGAAATAAATTCTTATTAGATCGAAATAAAAACTTTTTAAATAAGATACTATTTTTCAAATAATTATAATTACTTGAATCATATAACTTTTTTTCAGTGTAGCTATAGTAAAGTAAAAGTTATTAATGTGAACGAACATTATGCTATATTTTCAAAATTTAAAAAATTCATAATTAATGTTTTCAAATAATTATTGTCATCAATTTTACTCAAATTTGATATAGGGTTAATTTTAGTGTTTTTTATTAGAATTTAGTCATCAGAATGAAATTTGAGTTTTTCATTTTTTGATCATTAATTAATATAATATAATAGCAATTTTGAATTCTGTGCAATATACTGACAAAAGTCTCATATTATTAATATGGATATTGTTAATATTCTGACATAATAGAATTCTTTTAAGAAAGTAAACTTATGATTTTAACAACAATTTTTTATTGTTGACCCAAGAAATACAACCGTATAAAAATTTATTACAAAAAAATTTCAATTTTTAAACTTTTAATTTTTGAATCTTTCAATATTTAAATCTAACATTTTTTATTTGTTATTCAAAATTTTATTATTCTGACGATTTAATCTTAATAAGAAACACTAAAATTAACCCTGTACCAAGTTTGAGTACAATTCACTAAAGTATAGGGGAGAGTGGGGCAAACCGGACCCCCTAACGGTTTTTTGACTCTTGTGACTAAACAAATCAACCGATTTCATTTTTCGATGGCTTGTTTGAAAGATCATTTAATTGTGCAACTTTTTCCCACAGACACCTATACTTTATCTTTTATTGTCTAGTTGATGTGTTGACTTTAAAAAATTTTGCAAACGGTCCGGTTTGCCCCACCCCCTGGGGTAAACCGGACCGTTTAGTTTTTTATTTATAATATTGCATGTACATAATCTACAATAATAAAAAACATAAAGAATCTTGTAAACAATGGTTGTAGTAATGAAAATAATAATACGGGATTGAATTTTAATTAAATAAATATTTTTTTAAATAAAAAAATAAAAATGTTTGTCATTATCAGAGAAACAATATTAAAGGGTCCAATTCTTATTGGAAGACAATTATTTTTCATTGTAAGTAAATATTTTAATGAAGGAAACATTTTATTTATAAATAATTTTTATGAAACTTTAATTCAATGGAAATATCCTATGGCCGGTTTCCCCACAGGCCCATTTTAAGAATAAATGTTTGTCAAAAAGAAACGCTTTGCAAATTCATCAAAGTTTTTGGTGGTAAATATTCCAGAGGTGTGTACTTTCAAAACCTAAGACCTAATATTTGGAAACATTACATGATTTTCTCAGAATTCCCTTAAGAAAAAATTCGTAAAAGTGTAGAAAAAAACTAAAAAAAAAACTTTTGCTCCCTTCGTCGCACAAACGCAAGCTGAAACTGTCAGATTGAAAAAATAAGGTATACTAAACATGGTTGTTTTAAATTTGTAAACAAAACTTTTTCCAATTTCGCCATTTCGGAAATATTGAGAGGGGTCCGGTTTGCCCCACTCTCCCCTATTAAAAAACTAAAAATTTCCAATTTCCGAATTTTTGAAATAATGGCATAACTTCCGTCCATATTAATATTTTTTAATCTACTATCGCTAAGATATTAAGTTAGGTTTGTATACTAAGGAATAAATTTTGTTTTTTTATTTTAGACTGTCAGTAGCGGCGCTATGGGCTAGGGTTGTGAACTTTCATGAAACTTTGAAAAATGAAATGTTTCATGACAGTTTCATTGCCTCATGAAACATTTCAAAGTTTCAAGTTATAAGCGGAAAATTTCAAATTCAATGCAAGAAAGTTTAATTAACGCATATCATTGTTGTCAAAAATATGAAGTATTATTACTTACTTTAGATAATATCTTTCTTTAATTTTTATAAATAAAATAAATAATTAAAAAAAATATTAATAATTTAATTTTAAGTCATTTGTTAGAGGCAATATTTCAGGTAATTTTTAGTTAATATTAACATAACTACTCTCGTGTTTTCGGATGTAAACAAAAAACTTTCATTAAATTGTTTCGAACTAACCTAAAAATTCTGGAGATTATCTAACCTAAACTGACAACTGCGCATGTGCAAATAAAGCTTAATTATTGGTTCTTCAATGTTTCATGAAATTAATGAAACTTTCGCTTATGAAACACTGAATTTATTTTTGTCGCCGTGTAAGTCGTTTTGATGGTGTTCGCTGCCGATGCGCTGTTTTCGCGTTATACATCAAGTTTAAATTTGAGGTTCTTTTGTTTCTTTGAATGTTTGTCTGCGCTGCGATGGCAGTGAACACCATCAAAACGACTTACACGTCGACAAAAATAATTTAATATTGTTATTTCTATTAGCGGGCCATTTTTTTCTCAATTGCTTCTTACTCAATAATGTATGCAGAATACGATTGTATTTTTTAATTTTACGTATAGCGTGAAGAAGACTTTTTTATTATAATATTATAAATAAATAATTTAAAAAACAATACAAAAATTTTAGTGCGGGAGATGTACGGAATTTTCAAGTATGGAAACTTATTCTTTAATTTTGACAGAATATTAAACAATTTTTTTACAATAATAAGTATTCAAATGGTAGAGTTTTCAAAACAGGGGTTAATGAATTCATATTGCTTTGAAGCAATTAATATCATAAATGAAATAAACGATAGAAAGTTTATGTCATAAAAAGTTCAGTTACCAATATTAAAATCGAAATATTGTTGTTACTAAACTTGACAAAAATGGTAATTTATTTAATCTTTTAAGTGTATAATACTATTGACTATTTACTTTTTGACACCTATTTCATAAGACAGGATAAATATTTGTTAAATTATTTTGTTTAAATTTAAGTAATAAAGTAGATTTCATTCCAAATTTATACTTAGAATATTGTAAACTAGAAGGGTTTTGAAAAAAAACTTATTTTACATTTGTTAAGGATTTAAATTTTAGGCGCGAAAATATATCAATTTCCTGTTTAACGATAAATCAGAAGTGTGTGAATAGACGATCGGATATAAGTTGAGTTCGTCTTGAGCGTTGTGACGAAAAAGATTGATCGGTAAAACGTGCGTATGCGATATAAGATTCAGAAATTTGTTGATCTAATTATTGACATTATTTTATTTTGCTATTCTAAAGTTTATATTTTCAACTCTTAAATTAACATTATTCTTCAATTAAATCAAATTAAACATTTTAATCAGTTTGTTTCATGACGTTATAACCCTACCCGAAATTCTAGTATTTCTTTTTGCTAAATTTAGAGAAATTCTTTAACAATTTAGAAGTGAACGACCTTGAACGGAACGTGAAACGAGTACGAAAACAAACATGGCCGACAACGATGATGGGAATAGTGCGGAACAGGACGAAAACAAAGATCATGACGATTATTTAACTACAAGCGAGAATGAGGAGGATGATAATGGTCACACAAGAGACGGTAAAAACAATAAGCAGACCGGCGAACCAAAGATTCAAGACACACCGAAAAGTAATTACGAAAACAATAATGGTCAAACCAACCGCAGTGATCGAGACCCAAACGGAGGATTATTTTTAAACAACGGAATGGGTGACATTTTAAACTCAACGGAAGTTATTAATTTATTAATTAGATAAAATCGCGAAAGAGACGCGATGTTTCATTCAGTTATACAAAAATTTGCCGATATACAAGTAAATAATTTTCCAGGTAACGCAGCAGCGGCACTTTCGTATCACATTATGCCAGATTTAAGTCGAAATATTATTGATTTTGATGGAGAAAGCGGAAGTATTTCAGCGAGCGAGTGGATGCGAAATCTTGTCAGCATGAAACAACTCCACAATTGGCTGGACAGTTTTACTCTGGAAACAGCGAGAAAACACTTGAAAGGAGGAGCCTTTTTTGGTACAAGACAAGAGCCGAAAAAAAAGTTCTTGGGACAAATTTAAATGTTTTTTCAAGAAGACATTCGTAAAGTCGGAAAATAAAACGACTAGATGGAAGAAAATGTCAGAGAGATCCCAACGTAAGGAAGAATCGACGACTGCCTATTTTTATGAAAAAGTAAAATTGTGCTGCGACATTAATTTAGTCTTCGAAGATGTGAAAGAACAAGTGTTGATTGGGCTTTGGTCACGAGACCTTTGTTCATCTCTAGCATCAAAAAAACACAGTGATATAGACGACCTAGTCCACGATTTAATAAATCTGGGAAGAATCTCAAGTCAACGCACGGAAAGAATTCGAAATACTAAGGAAACCAACGTCACCAAGAAACAGTCGAGTTCCTCGACACCAGTGAAACCCTTAAAAGTGAAACCAAAACAAGGATTAGAAAATCGAAACCCTGATCGCCGTCCCCTATTAAAAAGTGACACGGGAGAATTAAAGTGCTACAATTGCTCGAAATTTGGTCATATTTCTAGAGATTGTCCAGATCCGCGTCGAGAATTGTATTGTGTGAAGTGCAAAGGCAAAGGCCATACCCAGAGACATTGTGCGGTAATTGACCCGAATAGAAAACCCGAAGTGCATTATTTTAATACCAATCGAGATTCATCAATCGCAAGGTTTTGATATGGTAAAAGATGCGGTAATTTTTCAGAGTTTCGGTTCCCAAAATTTTAAAACCAGTTCACCAGGAATTGTTTACGCGAATGTTGCAGTTGATGGTGTATTAGTGGAAAATATCGGTCTCCGTGTAGTTCTAGATGACGCACAGAATCTTGATATTTTAATCGGGCAAACGTATACGGAAAATCCGCGAATGAAATATCGTAAAGAAAATAACCAATTGATATTTTCTAAAAATCCGCAAAACTATATAATTGACATACAAGAAGACATTATTATTTCCGGTAGTGTTAGTGCTTCTGACAAAATTCTATTAATTTTGTAAACGTTATTAGTAACAGGATCGATCATACTATCCCAATTCTAAATATGAATCAATCGACAAAGGAATTCAAACAAGGAGAATGCATCACCAGAGGAGAAATTTCCAAATTACCACAAGTAAATAGTGTCCTTGAACGAGAACCTGTGACATTGGAGGACATAAATGTTTCCGAGTGCGACAACAAAGAGGAAGTTCAGGACTTGTTAAACATTTTGAGTAAATTCCGAAATATTATCTCGAAAAATCATTTTGAATTAGGATACACGAATTTAATCGAAATGAAAATCACAGAAAAACCGGGTAGCCAATCAGTGTTTTATCAAAACCATTCCGGGCAAGTGACAAAGAACGAAAAACATTAAAATCAATTTTTCAAGAATTCCGCGAAGCAAACATTGTTACCGATACCGACTCGAAATACCCGAACAAAGTGATTCTAGTGAAGAAAGCAAATGGTTTGCCACGTGCTGTTCTTGATACCCGCAAACTAAACAGTCAAACCGAAAGGATTCATTTCCCATTACCCAACCTTGACGATCAGCTGTCACTGTTGTGTAACGCAAAGATATTTATTACACTCGATTGTAATGAATGTTAATTGTTTGGATTGCTCGTCGGTCAGGGTTCGTTTAAATAATTTTAACATTTTAATTACAGAATCGAATTTCAAAAATATATTTACAAAACACAAATAAAAGTACAAAGAATTGACTAAACTCGTCTACGCGGAGACGAGAAGAACGACGTAAACGTAAATATCGCGAATATTAACAAAACAACAAAACACGTGAATTTCGAGCGATAACTGTGATTTCGACGACGTCGACGATTAGTTTAAGTTACAATAACGTGCGAACGCGGATTTTCGTAAAGAAATGTAACGCGGCGAGTTACAAAACGATGAACGATAAAATTAAGCGAACGTGGACTTTTGTATAGTAACGCGACGAGTTACAATACAATAAAACGACATTTCGAACGACGATGACTTCCGACAACGGTACCGACAGTTTCGCGGGAGAGAGTGCTACAGGACCAGAAGTAACACCTCTTTAGCCCTCTGCGGTAATACCGCTTGTGGTAATACCACTTTTCTCTCATCGTGGTGATACCACTTCGAGAGCTCCTACTGCGGTGACACCGCTTCGAGAAGTGAAGATCTCGGACCGTGCATTCGGGGTCCTCGGTTCGGTGCGTTGTTGGAGGGAGAAGATCTCGGTGGAGAGACATACTCGCTCGCTATTGGTCGTAGGCTGAGCGCACGCGCACAATCGGCACTCAGGAGCGTACAACAAATTTCGTGCGTCGAATAAAACGCAAATTTTAAAAACAATTAAATAATAATATTTTGATTTCACTTCATTATCGTCACACGATCTTGCCAATAGTTATCTCCAAGTGCCAATAGCCAAAGAGGACAGACAAAAAACGGCATACATAACTCCGGACGAGACTGGTGAATTCACGAGAATGATCTTCGGATTAATGAATGCACCATTCTACTTTTCTAAGTTAATGAAAAAAGTGTTAGAACCATTGAGAGATCATTGCATCATATTTTACTTGGACGATATACTTATTGCTGGAACAAACTAGATCGACCTTCGACAGAAACTTATTTTAGTGTTGGAAGCTTTGTTAAACGCAAATTTAACATTTAATCTTGCGAAATGTGCTTTTCTTAAGAAAGAAGTAAAATATCTCGGATTTATGATTTTACAAGGAAAGATTGAACCAACCAGCTCGATGATAAAAGGGATTGTCGATTACCCGACTCCAACTGACATCCATAGTCTACGCCGATTCCTTGGACTAACAGGATTCCTGAGAATATTTGTCTACAGATTCGCCGAAGTTGTAGGTCCGTTGTACGCGCTACTGAAAGAGAAAAAATTCATTCGTATGGACGGAAAAATGTGAAGAAGCTTTCATCGATCTGAAACAACGTTTATCTTGGAAACCAGTTCTACAAATATTCGACCCTCACGCAAAAACTGAACGTACAAATGAAGCGGAGAAAAATTATCATTCCAGTAAATTGGAATTACTCGCAATCATATGGGCTGTTTCTCGATTTCGATCGATGTTGGTTAATATTCATTTCAAAATTGTGACTGTTTGCCAAGCATTGATGTTTTTAAGCACGCAGAAAACTAAGAATCCACAGATTATCAGATAATCGAATCTGCTGAGTGAATTCAATTTTGACATCGAACATCGCGCAGGAGACAAAATGGCACACGTCAATGCCTTGAGCCGAGCTCCAATCGAACCCGAAGAAGACGAATGTGACAGTGAAGACAGATTACGAGGAATATTTTCAATAGTAAATGTTGACGACGAGATTATTATGTATCAATATAGTGATAAAAATTTAAAACGAAAACGCGAAATCTTATTAAAACCGATTAGTGAACGAACGAACAACGAGAAAACCATGTGAGAGATTATATTTGTGAAAGTGGAATTTTATATAAACGTGAAGGAAAAAAATTGTTATATATGATTCCCGAAAAGATGCGCAAGAGCATTGCTGTGAGATTTCACGGGTTACAAAGTCATGCCGGACTTGAAAGAACTTTATCGAAAATTCGCGAATATTATTTCTTTCCGAACATGAGACGGTATTTAAAGTTTCATATTCGCAGTTGTTTACATTGCCTTTTAATTAAAGCAAAAACCGGTCGACAAGCAGGAACGTTACACCCGATTCCACCTGCCAAACTTCCTTTTGCATTAGTACATTTGGATCATGAAGGACCTTTTGTGACGACACCGCGAGACAATAAATACGTATTTGTCGCGACCGATAACTTCACGCGTTATTCAGTGATTCAAGCAGTAAAGAATATGAAAGCAATCAACGTAGTACGAGTCCTTGAAGATTTTATTTTGAATTTTGGAGCACCAATCCGATTCGTGACAGATCGTGGAACCTGTTTCACATCTGATCTTTTCAGAGAATTTTGTTCGAAACATGGAATTCAACATACCCTCAATTCACCACGTCATCCCCAAGCCAACGGCATGGTTGAAATGACAAATGCAACTCTGATCCCAGCGATGCAAGCGAACATTCAACATCCAGAAGGTAGAGATTGGGACTTACGTCTTAAAAAAATTCAGTGAGATCTCAACGCATCATCAAACTAGACGACAGGACTGAGCCCTTTCGAAATGCTCTATGGTTACTTCAATAGACTCGATGAAAGAGAAATTCGATCAATGACTGCAGAAAACGACGAACGCTACACTAACCCAGAATTACTTCAAGAAGAAGCTCGAAAGAAAATTGTCGAAGAGCAAGAAAATTATAAACAACGCTTTGATAAAAATCGATTAAAAGCGTCATTTACAATGTAGGCGATATTGTGGCAATGAAGGACACTATTATCGCTACTGGCAAATCAACTAAATTCCAAAAACGTTATCGTGGGCCGTTAGTCATTACACGAATCTAACCGAGTGACACTTACGGAGTAGCCGCCCTCAAGATTAATAATCGAAAACGCAGATACGCTGCAACCGCACATACGAGTCAATTAAAATTGTGGATACAAGCATCTTTAGAAAACGGCGAGGAAACGGACGATTTCGAAGAGTCAAGCGAAGACGAAGAACTTCAAGAAATTCTTGAACCGACAAATAATAAATTGTCACCACCCACCGAAGAACCGACAATTGAACAACCAATTCGACGAAGTGTAAGAAACCAGAAACCAATTGAACGTTTTAAAGCTTAATTTTATGGACTTTAAGTGAATTTCTGTATTTAATTCTATCAGAGAGAAACTAAGAGTACGCACGTAATGCAAATCGCTCTTTCCTTTGAAAGTCTGCCCCCTTGCGGCCAAAAGTCCCAAGCTTAGGTGGTTGGCTATATATGTCGTAGGCAAATAGAAGAATCCGGCAGTAAGCCTACTTCCTAGGCTGTAAGCTTACTGCCGGCAATTAGACGAATGCACATCGAAATCGTTCAGATTCATCTATTTGCCTAGGCAGTAAGCTTACTGCAGGGTTGCCAACAACATGGTCTCTAAAATCGCCACAGCTAAAATAAAAAATCGCCAGAAATAGCCAACCTTAATAGTTTAGCCGCTAAAATTAAAATTTTAATTAGAAAGTTTTAGAAAAATAATTTATTAAATTAAAGAATTTGTAAAAATTATATTAATTAGAAAATTGAATGAACTTATTTATTATAAAGTTTATTACAAAGCTGCAACGAATTACATAAAATTTTTAAAAATTGTTAATCATTTTTACATATATATAAAATGTGAACCTATTTTATTCTAATTAGTCTTTCAAATGTTAACATCGGGTAAGTGAATACATGGGAACTCGTCATTCTCACTTAAAATGTTAAAAGCAGTTAACGCATTATTATCAAATTCTTTCTCTTGAATGGAGAGATCGCTATTATTTGATTTGTTCTTAAACGGATAAATTACTTTATACGTAAAATTTTGAAACATTTTATGTGAAGGTGTAAAATCTTTGCAGCATATTTTGTTAATTGTAAATCTAATTCGAATTCTTAAAATAGCGTCTAATAACTCAATTAACATTCGATTTCTTGATGTTGTTTTAACTGCATTCATGACTGAGAATGTTCTCTCTACAACTGCATTACTTGATGGTAAACATAGTACTCTTAAAACGTAAACAGCAAGAT